CGCATTTCATGTGCCAACTTTCCTTGCACTTACGTTGGTCATACTGGGTGACGGTTTGCGACACGCATTTACGAACACCAGTTAGCCATCTGCCGACGTGACCCTCTGCCGTTCGTGTTCGCACACGTCCTTGAGCTTGACCACCACTTCAGTTGGGACGGAACTGAAGTGGTTGCCATGGCCAACACCAAACAGGCACGAAAATTTCTCGAGGCCTGGCACTATAACGCGACCAGCATTAACCGTCACATAGATGTGGACGCGCATTACGAAGGGGTGCACACACGGTTCAGTGACGCACGCTCAGGACCTACTAATCAGTACTAACCACTACTTCTACCACTACAACCAATACCACTTCGATTAATACTACTATTACTAATACTACTGTACTGCTACTACCATGGTTGTATGCTGGACCACGTTGAATACCACTGTCTCGCAACCCCACCCCGAACACAACGAACGACAGCTGAAAACTCGCAAAACGCTAATCGACGCTGGTCCACGTTAAAAAATAACGCTTACTCAAAACCTCCAACCCGAACACAGCGCACGACACCTAAAAATCCCCGAACACGTCTGAACACGGTACACTGACCATCTGAGTCAAGCGCATCGACCACGACCACATCTATTGATACCACCGCATTGAAGCGTCATCTTCCCCATCCTACACAGAGAGCCGTAGCACTCCTCACCCTCCTCCCCCGCCCAAGTTCTACCGTAAACGTTTGTCCACCGCCACCATACATTGGCTGCCTGTCTGTCTTTTTCTGCCCTCTCACACAAACTACCCATAACCGGCCATTTCAGTTTCTCCATTGTACATTTATTCTGACGACTGGCCGCTGCTAGCTGCTTGAAAATTCACAAGCATATCTTATTTTTCCAACGAGCCTTTTAGTTTTTCAATCATCAGCTCAGCCTGCAAGTGTGAAAACGGATGTACGTACGAGTGTAAGCAGGATTACCCGCCTGGGACGACGACAGCTTAGGTCGGTGACAGCTGTAAAAGAGCGAACACCGGAAGCCGACGGGAGACACCTTGATTGAGGTGAATACGCTTCACAGGACACGATGATTGAGCATCCCTCCTTACTCCTCCCCCCTTCCTCTGCATTGGTTTAACCATTATTGACTATAACTGTCAACACCTATGAATACTGTAAGGAGCGGTACAACTACCACCTCTGATGACGGTAGCCCGTACCCTTTTGAAACATCAGGACGCTAAAACAATGGTTCTCGAGATCGCCTTATCTTCCCATTTATGTCCGGTGACGTGCATCATTGCTTCTATTAGCAATATGTATATGGAGTGGCAGAAGGACATTACCAGCAAAGATAGGGGACACTAGGAAGGCCTTTTCTG